CTTCCAGAGAGAGCCCGCCCACACACGCTTCTGATTGGCTGTGATATTTGATTGATTCTGTCGTGTCGCATCGCGTCTGGTGTGGACACCCAAATTGCTTGTCGCTGGAATCTTGTCTCGTGTAGTGTGTAGTTAGGACACGGTGTTACAGGTTTGGAACAACATGAGGGTGAGTAATTAATGAGAGAACTTTCCTTTTTGGGTGAACTATCCCTTTAAGCACCCTGAATTTGTTCAGCTCTCTCCCTTCAGCTCTCTCATCTTTCACTGGTCAGTCTAAAGCTATAGAGGATGATGTTCAACATTACAAGTGTGATCATGATGTATTAGCGCCTTTAAATGTTTACATGATGTGCATGTAAATGAAACTGAAAATGCAAAGCAGCTCAGCACACTAAAAACCTCTGACATGACCCCTATGTTTACCAGGGTAACCATAAATTCTAACAACAAAGAACCAGTTACTACAGTTCATGTTTAAAATCATAAACTATTAGTGAATCTTCTCAAGGGCATATCTACAGGTGGGCATATTAAATCAGTCAAGTTTTAGCACTCTTCATTACAAGATGATGAAAATACTCACACTGAAGAAAAAAAAAGGTTATTATAAGAAGTGTTTACTAATAAGTTCTTTGGGGAACCCAAAATGTTTCTTATACAGCATTACTGCAAAAACTTTTCGGAATGTTTATTTTTAAGAGTGCTGATTGGTTTTTACATACTCTCATGTTGATTTTTCACTCTTTGGAATACATGATTCTGGTTGGTTAGTTGCTACAACCAGTGGTAAAGTATTTCTGAATTATGATCATTGTCAAGGTCAACACTGTATAACTACCACTATATAACTTGTGTTGTCTAAGATTTATTTGGTAAGCAGCCATGTAATATGCAAGATCATGTACAGTCAACTGGTTACTATCGCCAAACCAACAACCTTGTAAAGCAACCTTGAGTTTTGAAAAGGCACTTTTTAAATGAATATGAAAACTATTATTATGTTTACGATTAAATTCAACAAATTGAATAAGATCTTGAAGGGATCATATAAACCTGAAGGTGGTTATTTTAGAAGAACCTTCCGTTTTAAGGGCCTGATAGCCATGTTGGGTTTAATTTCCAATAACCACTGACTAAATTATGTGAAAAATAATGGGTTTTTTTTTTTAAACGAAGCATTAACACGTTAGACTGCACCCCATAAACACAATCAAGCCTAGGGAAAAAAACTGTGAACCACTCCTTTAAAATTCAACTAAACATTGAGAGTTCTTTGGTTTCCCTATTCAACATTTTCCTCGTGCAGCAGTGCATTAACTTCTGAGTTTTAGTTTTTATTGTTAACTTTCACCAATGAATGTGTGAAAGACTGAAAAACTGTGCTGATATCTAAAAATAACACAGACACCTTGATCCACTACCACTTGCAAAGGCTGGACATGCCAATGTCGGCACGCCTGCAGCTGGATGACTTCCTGCATGCAAACATGTAGTGGGCTTATAGACAACAAGTGGTGTAAAAATGTTGTTTACACATTTCTGTTTATCAAATCCTACTGGAAATGGAAAGAGTCACTACTGCTCTGAAAACATCTGGTCGTTGCCTTATGCCAAATCTCTCCAATACATAAAAACCTGAAGTTGTCAAATCTGTTTCTATAAGCAGACCATCAAATGGCATATTCAATTCTGAACCTTTTTCTTGTTTTAAAAAAATGACAACTGTCTGACCAAATAAAATAAAAAATAAAAAATTTTTAAAAAAGTGTCAAACGATGCCTTTGTTGATACCAGTTTAATGTGCAGACACCATAAATATAATTAAGCCATTTGTAGGTTCTTCATTTCCACAAAGTATAAAGTGTAAACACTGTGGCATTGCTGTTTACTTGAGTGGCTCAAGAGAAATCAAACAATGCCAGAAGCATTGTTAGTCATTTCATCACAGTCAGTAGTACTGATAGATTTTGCTGCTTCCTTTGGGATCACTGCCACACAGGCAACAGTAAATATTCATTTCATTTAAGGATCATTGCTAACAAGGTTTGTTAAAAAGTGCAATTCTCACAATAATCAGTATTTGGCTATCAGCCCATTCCGAATTATGTATGTAGTACTGAGAGGTTTGTGACAGAACACAATGTTTAAAGCTTTTTTTGAACACAAACTTGCTATTTTTTAGCATTTCTAAAATGCAAGCATTTTCCTCCAGGGCTGATTCCATTGTCAAGGCAGATTGTTTGTAAAGAGTTATGACTTTAAACTCTGACACTTACTATAACAAAACCACATGTTCTTGTGCCCTAGAAGAGAAGGCAGCCAAATAATTAACTGGCAGATCATATTCATTCATTCCCGCCTACAGCCTCCACACAGAGACAGTGCGCTGTCTGAGGCAGAGCTGCTCTCTGCTAAAACATTTCCCACTGGTGAAAGACCAGTAGTTAAACCACTACACCTGACTGACATTTCTTAACCCTTCTCTAAACCATACTTTGAAAGCTAAAAAAATCCATTGCAGGCATCAGCAAAAACTAAAACATAACCCAAACTCTAAACTCAGTCATGTCGAGATACAGTACGCACAAGTGTTTTTCCACAACTCACAGTTAAAGGGATAGTTTACCCAAAAATTAAAAATGTATGAAAAACATTACATTTGAACCACTGATGTCACTTGGACTATTTTAACAATGTCCTTACTACCTTTCTGGGCCTTAAATGTGGTAGTTGATTTGCTGTCTATGGAAGGTCAGAAAGCTCTTGGATTTGTGTTCCGAAGATGAACGAAGGTCTTACACCATGTCCTAACTACACGCGACGTCACGCCGCGACACGCGATAAAAGGTATCTTTTCCATGTTAATCTGAGTTTTTGTCGTAACTAGCCGCGACGGCGACACGCGAAATATCTAATTTAGAAACGGTTTCTAATTCCGTGACGTTGCGGCTGGAACAACAACATACAAACTATATGACAGTAGATAATCTCAGGTGATTATGTGCTTTATTCAAAGTTAAATGTCTCTAATATGAGTTTAAATATAATTTTGTGTGACCTTATCCAGATCTTGAAAATAAATTAAAGCAAAGATGTCCGTTAAAACTGTGAACTCACTGCAAACCAACGAGTGTATTCCATAACATAGATGTTATCAGTATGTATGTACATTTAATGATGTTAAAAAGCTTGAACATTTATGAATTAGATTATAAATGTATCCATTTCGTTGCGAGTGCAGTGCGCTTCCAGAGAGAGCCCGCCCACACACGCTTCTGATTGGCTGTGATATTTGATTGATTCTGTCGTGTCGCATCGCGTCTGGTGTGGACACCCAAATTGCTTGTCGCTGGAATCTTGTCTCGTGTAGTGTGTAGTTAGGACACGGTGTTACAGGTTTGGAACAACATGAGGGTGAGTAATTAATGAGAGAACTTTCCTTTTTGGGTGAACTATCCCTTTAAGCACCCTGAATTTGTTCAGCTCTCTCCCTTCAGCTCTCTCATCTTTCACTGGTCAGTCTAAAGCTATAGAGGATGATGTTCAACATTACAAGTGTGATCATGATGTATTAGCGCCTTTAAATGTTTACATGATGTGCATGTAAATGAAACTGAAAATGCAAAGCAGCTCAGCACACTAAAAACCTCTGACATGACCCCTATGTTTACCAGGGTAACCATAAATTCTAACAACAAAGAACCAGTTACTACAGTTCATGTTTAAAATCATAAACTATTAGTGAATCTTCTCAAGGGCATATCTACAGGTGGGCATATTAAATCAGTCAAGTTTTAGCACTCTTCATTACAAGATGATGAAAATACTCACACTGAAGAAAAAAAAAGGTTATTATAAGAAGTGTTTACTAATAAGTTCTTTGGGGAACCCAAAATGTTTCTTATACAGCATTACTGCAAAAACTTTTCGGAATGTTTATTTTTAAGAGTGCTGATTGGTTTTTACATACTCTCATGTTGATTTTTCACTCTTTGGAATACATGATTCTGGTTGGTTAGTTGCTACAACCAGTGGTAAAGTATTTCTGAATTATGATCATTGTCAAGGTCAACACTGTATAACTACCACTATATAACTTGTGTTGTCTAAGATTTATTTGGTAAGCAGCCATGTAATATGCAAGATCATGTACAGTCAACTGGTTACTATCGCCAAACCAACAACCTTGTAAAGCAACCTTGAGTTTTGAAAAGGCACTTTTTAAATGAATATGAAAACTATTATTATGTTTACGATTAAATTCAACAAATTGAATAAGATCTTGAAGGGATCATATAAACCTGAAGGTGGTTATTTTAGAAGAACCTTCCGTTTTAAGGGCCTGATAGCCATGTTGGGTTTAATTTCCAATAACCACTGACTGACTGTACATTATCCATTACAAAGTGCATACAAATAAACTCCCTCCTTTGCACAGCTGCAAATTTACTATACACAAACTTTACATTTCTCACACTCAAAATAATAACTTGCATAAAATGTTTGGAAAGATTTTTTATAGGCAATATTGAGCTGCCCACCTAGGGATAGCATCATAGTAACATCACTGCTGTTTCTGTGCTCATTCTGTCTTGTATGTTGTTGTTTTACAGTAGTGTAGCAAGTATGGCATCTTGGCTGGAAACTATGGTTGCCATGGTGACTTCAAAATCTATCAAAATCATCGGCATTCAAAGAAAAAAATAAGTTTGCAACTTACAGCTCAGGCAAAATATAATTAACAATTGATCAGGTGAAGACTCGTAAATATGATCAGACAAATTGAAGGCATCAGCCCTTTAATGATGTCCATATGAATGTGTGCAGTGTGAATGACAGCAGCCAGGCACTGGCATCCTCATCCCTCCTCATGAGCTCGATGTGTCGGGCATTTTACATTCACTGTGATTCAGTTGCGCATAGGACAAACGTAGGCAGCCGCATTTGATGTATGAAATCGAGGGAGCGAGGTAATTACCAATTTTGGCTGTGCTTACCCTTGAGACGGTGAGGTCTGTCATGAGCTGCTCGAAGGCCCGCGTCTCCTCCGCCTGTTTCTGGTTGTGCAGCGCGATCTTCTCGCTGAACTTCCGCGGGTTGGAGCCACTCGAGCCCGGGGATCCAGACATGGTTGGGCCGCAGAGTTTCGAGATCAACTTCGCAGGGAACTGACGGTTGAATGTTGTCGATATACAAGTCAAATGTGCTTAAGTTGTCCTTCCATGTCTGAAATGCGTGTAAGGGTGCAGTCCAGATGCTTTAGAGAGGTTTGACGAGGTCGCTTTAATGACAAGAGCTTTGCCACCATTAATGAGCTGGAAAACGCGATGAAACCGTATTATTAACAACTTAATGGACTTAATTCAGCTTAAGTGCAAAGTAACGATGATATATAGGAATTCCTTATACGGCAATATTTGTATGAAGGCGATGAGCCGAATTTGCTAAAAGTTTTGTCAGGAAACTGGACATCGCTAAATATTCAAGCGTTTATGACGGTTTCGTTTGGCATCACTAACTTAAACAAGCTCTTGCTTTGTATCGTGGGGGAAATAGGAAAAAATGTGTAATACTGTGCAACGCCAAACAGAAAAGCTTAACGTTAAGTATTTCACTTGGATTTACGAAACAGGTTCAGTAACGACCCTAGCTAGCGAGCTAAATACTTTAGATTCTGACGAGAACAATTTAAATTATGTATATTTTTGTTATTCCGCATAAATATTTAAGAGCCCACCATTATTTATGAATTAAGATAGACAGTTGGTGATATAACTGTCTAAATGTGAGTAATTGATCGATATTGCTCGGTCAGGTACAGGATAAAGTCAGCCGTGACAGCTAACGTTAACCTGCTAATGAGCGATATGACACAATCGAAATATCACAAACGAACCGTAACTTAAATGACAACCAACAGTCGTTCGACTCTTCAAACGGCCCACTTGTATGGTAAATTCAATCAATCTTATTTCACCCAATACTGAACTTAGTTTCGTGAGATTTCAACAAGTGGTCTCGCCAATGTAAAGCTCGTTACGCATTCAAAACTCATATAAACAGGTAAGCGCGACAGCAACTCCGCAGCAAGGTAGCAAATCAAGCTCGGCAATCAGACACTCACTGTCCTGCGGCCAGTGACCGACCGCTGTTGTCATACGAGTCTGAGAAAATGTTTGATGTTACTGATTCGTGAAATGCAGCGGTGAAATCTGATCGTGTAGTCCGCGTGTACTCCTTTGGACTCTCTTCTCCGTGTCCATCATCTAGATCCACCTGAACTGTGATCCACCGTCTCGTGACTCCACGGCACACATTTGTTTTGCCAACTCCGAGTGAAAACAAGCCGAGGAAAAAATACACAAGCCTGCCCCAAAACTGTATACCAATTTTTTAAAGTTGTGTCCACAAGGAGGCAGTGGAGTTCCCTTAAAGGGATACACAGCACTATTATTTACTATGTGTTAAAAGTACCATCAAAAAAATTATTAGAAATAGAAATGAAAACTCCACATTTCCTCTGTAGTAGATCATCTATTTATCTGTATTAGATAAAACGTATCTTGAAACTCTGCATTAAAGGCAGAGTAAGTGATTTCTGGTAGCCAATGTTGATATTTGAAATCACCAAAACAAACACACCCCTACCCCAAAAGGGTCTTGCCTCTATTCTGATAGATACGCCCCACATATACGTACGCAACCCAGGCAACGATTAGTTCTGTGAAACAAAGCAAAACCAATGTTACACCGTGTCTACGGACGTCAACGGCGCGGGCCCTCTTCTATCTATCTATCTATCTATCTATCTATCTATCTATCTATCTATCTATCTATCTATCTATCCATCCATCCATCTATCTATCTATCTTAGATAAAACATGTCTTCAAATGGAATTGACTTTTATCTAGCTATCTATCTATCTATCCATCCATCCATCTTATCTATAAAACGTGTCTTGAAATTCTGAACCCTGGTTCCAAAAAAAAATAAAAATCTGAAGGATCATGTGACACTGAAGACTGAAGTAATGGCTCCTGAAAATTCAGCTTTGCAATCACAAGAATAAATTAAATTTTAAATTATATTTAAATAGAAATCTTTTTTTTTTTTTACGTTGTAATAATATTTCACAGTATTGTTTTTACTGTGTTTTTTTTTTTAATTGAAATAAATGCAGCCTTGGTGAGCATAAGAGACATCTTTAGAAAGCTCTTTAAAAAAATCTTAATTATTGCAATTTTTTGACCTGTATTGTGTATATATTTGAGTAACTTTTTATTTTTTTTTTAACAGCTGTCAAACTATTGTCATAGGAAATGGCAAAGCATGCAGGGAGACTGAGGCCCGCTTTGCCATCACAGGAATATATTACATTTTAAAATATATTAAAATAGAAAATAGTTATTTTAAATTGCAATGTTATTTTTGTAATTGTAATAATATTTCACAATATTACTGTTTTTACTGAATATTTATCAAAACATAAAAAAATCTTATTGAGCCTCGAGTTTTGAACAGTAGTGTGTGTATACAATAAGGCTTTTTAATGCTTTGATATATATTCTGTTCTCTTGCTCCCTACCCTTCTACAAAAGGCAAGCACCAACCAGCATGACCAGCTCTACGAGACATTCGGTGCTGCTTAGCTAAATCACATTCTATATTAAGTAACTTTATTGCTACCTCAGTGGGATCTCTTCTTTATTTTCTGTGTAGCTGCTGGAAACATCGTTCTGTCTGTGGATTGTGTTACTGGCTACATTGATAAACACATTTAAGATGAGATGCACATATAGCCAAACTAAGCACCATGGGTGAATGGTGAAACAGGCACTGAGCTAGGTCGGATGCTCTCAATTCCAGACACATGAAATGATATTTAAATCCATATTATGATCTCAGTAAAACAATAGAGCTATCTATGAGAGTAACTGTCATGACTGCTTCCTGACAACTTTTGTTCATTTGTTCAGGACAGTACCATTGACCCAGAAATCTTCCTCCATTGATCATACTTACTAAAGGCTCCGGGCTGTCACATCGTCCCCAGTTTTGTTGTGAAGGCATGTGCAGATATGCAACATTTGTTCAGTCTATAGTTCCTTTATACGTAAAGAAGACCTCCATTGTGGCAGTTCTAAGAAGCCCAGCATTATGGGCAAAAGAGATAGAAGCAGGATGATATCACCACTGCTGTCTTGTCATGCTCAGAAAAGAGAGGAGCATGTGAGAACGTTTCCCGAAAGCATCGTAAGCCTAAGAACATCGTAGACCCATTGCCACCAATGGAGCTACGATCAATTTAGGATTACGATGCTTTTGGGAAAGGCAGCCCTGAGCCACTTTTATCATCTCAATTAGTTAAAAGTACCGGTTTTATTTTAATCATATTTGTATACTATTGTAGTATTTAATATTTTGAATTAGCTTTTAAGTTTTCAGTTTAAGTTTTAGTAATTTTGTTATGTGCTTGTCATTTAGATTTTTTATTTAAAATAATTATTTTTTATATTTTGTCATTTTTAAATATTTATTCAGTTTTGCTTTTAGTAATGCTACTTCAAGTTATTTTATTTCAGTTAGTCGCCAAGTCAACATTTCAAATTTTCATTGAAATTTAGTTACATTTTTAATCAAAAATATTTTCTTTTATTTCAGTTTTTAATGATTAATTAAAACTATTTTAAATAGTTTTCTCATAATTCAATACAAATTGTTAAAACAATTAAATGAGACTTTATACTTTTCTCCTTATTAATAGAAACACCTAATGAATCTGTCAGTGTGAACACTGCTGCAATAGCTGTTACTGCAAACTGCTTTTTCACAATGTATTATCTTATATTCAGAGTGTTCTGATGGTACCACAGAGTGGCACAAAGTCACTTTCCAGAGCATTTTTGTTCACCGTTCCTTGCTGGTGGAATGATATTCCTATCCCCATCCAGAATGCTCAATCCCTGACAATGTTCAATATTCAACCAATAATATTAATCTTGTCAACATTTGATTGCATCCCATGCATAATAATATTAATAATAATAAAAAACTTTGCTTTCACTTTTCCTTAGTCCCTCCCAGTTCTAGTGTGTACTAATCTGAATGAGGTCTGAAATGTTGTATTAATAGCACTTCCTGTGTTTATTTGCCTCTTTATGATGAATCGCTTGTTGCATTCATCAATTACAAGTTGCTTTGGATAAAAGCGTCTGCTACTTGAATAAATGTAAATGTAAGTGCAAACAATTGAAATGTCCAGATATTATACCAGATTTTTACCTTTACACAACAAAGCAGCTATATAATATAGCAAAATAAAATGAATAGCCAAGCCTAATCATTTGTACCACTCAAAAATTCAAATAGAAGGATGACCTTAATGTGTGGAAGCTTCCGAACAAAAGGATATACTGTGGTTTTCATTTCTATATTTTAATAATAGCTTTAACAGTATTATAATGCAAGTATACTTTAATGATTGAAATCTGTTACAGCTTGAAAGGTTTTTGTAAAAAAAAACATCTTTTAAATTTCATAATGAATCTGTTTATTATATCATCACTGCATTTTCTCAACATAATGAGTGTATAAACCGCCATCACTAATCAGTAAAAATATGTAACCATTATTCAACTATTACATTTTGTATAAGAGATGTTATTGGTAACAACAGAATGAGATGGACTGACATTATATGATAAGGCTTCTCCACAAATTTTCCCAACGGTTTATTCAAGTTAAGGCACCTTTAAAAAATAAATGGACACAAGGCTGCAAAAATTAGAGGGACGTAAACGTAAAGCTCATCCAGCATGCAGTGTCCAAATGCTCTGGGGAAAAAAAGTCCTCATTTTTCGACCACCCAATGAAGTACACCTATTCATTGCTATTTTTTTTTTTATTTTATTATTTTTTTTACAAATAAAGAAATTGCTCTGATAAATATATTTTGGTAACATTTGGAGGAATGTGGCTATAACACTCATCACTCTCCTAGACGATAGGGATACTTGGAAACAATTTTAAAATAGTTTCGCCCTAAGAATAGATTAGGTAATAAAAATGTTCATTTTACATATAACATATACAGTATTCAAAGCTCATGCAAGCGCAGTTTGCAAAAGATCAAAGCAAACTACTACTGATACTCTTTTGGACACTTACATCTCAGTAAAAACAGAAAACAGTCAACCGTTACATATCCAGAAGATACAGGTTGGTGGTCTACGACAAATTTAATAATGTACATTGAAGGAATTTTATCCTTCAAGAAAGGCACAAAAGGCATACTCAGAGTAGTGCAGGAAAGACATTTAAACTTTAAAGATGGATGTGGTCTGGGCTTCACTTTGTATGAAACAGTCTGTCAAGTCCCTCTGAGTTTCTATTTGCCGTAGAACTTCTTGTTGAGCAGGAAAATAAGGAGGTTAACATTTACAGTAGCGCGATCGAACAGCTTCATCACTGCCACCCCCTCGTACTGCAACTGGAGTAGGTCCTGTTATTAAAGACATAAAAAAAAATTACAGTACAGTTAGTATAGGGACCGATTCTCACTATTAACTAGTTGCTTATTAACATGCCTATTATTAACATATTGGCTGTTTATTAGTACTTATAAAGCATTCTGCATGAACATTCTACATCCCTAATCCTACCCAATACCTAAACTTAACAACTACCTCACTAACTATTAATAAGCAGTAAATTAGGAGTTTATTGAGGCAAAAGTCATAGTTAATGGTCTGTTAATATTAAGAATTGGACCTTAAAATAAAGTGTAACCAAAATTACATATACAGTTCTTAAAAAAAAAAAATCAAACATTCCTTCTGACTTACATGAGATAGAGACTAAAAATATCAAGAGAAGAACTTTCACCTGGTATTCTAACAGTAATGTCTCCAAATGGACTCCCATAAGTTTAGCTTTCACCTCAAACACTCCTACGACCTCAGATGGCGAGATCTCGAAAATTACATTCTTATACCTGTTAAAATAGGAAACAAGCACATTGTTACAGGAAATGCAGATACATAAGCTTATAGTACTGTAAGGCATGAACAGATGAACTTCAAAACATGACCAGAAGTTGAAACTCACTGATTTGGCTGCAGATCCTCGATGTCAATAAGCACTCCCTTCTCATGCAGACGGGCTGCTGTGTACTTCTGTGACACCTGCTTACTCTTCTTCGCCTTATTGTCTCCAGGTTTCTTAGAGACTCTGTGTGTGTGAAGCAATGACATTTTCCATGACCGTAAGCTAAGTGCTCAACAGCAATTATTCAGTCAGAGATAACGACATGAACTGAACTGGACAGTAAATACTCCAAGCGCTCGTCACTCACTTGCCCTTGCTGGCTAAATTGTCCATGCAGG